TCATGCCTGCGCTCTGCTCAACCTAATCTCTCAAGGTCTTTCATGCAGTCTGCTCATTCTAAACTGTTTCACTTCCTTTCCAGCTCAAGACTGAAGACGAGAACTCTTTTAATAAATAATTAAATAGCGTCTGTTAGTCCCAATAATAATGTGAGCCCAATGTAAATCAATCTGTGAAATGACAATGTTAATTACTTGAATTACAATACTGTAATCAGTAGTATTTGTATAAGAAGTATAGCTTGGTACAGATGCACTAGACACTCCTCCAAGTACACAAGTCATGTTAAAATCACATGACACATTCCTTTTGTCTCTCCAATCAGAGTTTTCGTTTCTGACGCGTGGTGTGGTCTGCGTGGTGTTTATACAAAACCCTTTTGGCTGTCAAATCCTGATTCGACCATAAATCAAAACATCTGAATTATAAAACTAATTCCCACGCCACCCTTAACAGTGTTCAAGCATTCTATAGTTTGGGACTGGCCATCCTGAAGTTTTAACCCAAAGAACCGACAAGCTGGATAATAAAACCTGTTGCAAGCTACACCTGAACGCAACGTTCCTTCAGAGTAAAAGCTTAACTCACTGACCCTTCAGGGTCCCGCTGACGCCTGTCAACCACCCATCGCTTACCTGGAGGCATTCTAAGAGTAGTCAGTCGTACCGTACGCTGTTTCATCGGCTTCGGTATCAAGAGGGGGGTCCGAGGACCTGGCATTCTGGATCTGAAAAGGAGGCTTCCGCCAAGGGTATGTAGAGTGGCAATATGGCGTCTGAATGTGGTTTTGAAACTCCGACTGTAGTTTAGAGCAAAACATTCGCTCCCACACAGAACTAGTGCTTCTCCGGAAACGAGAGTTCTGTTAACAACATTCCACATTACACCATCCATCTTGCCTCATTTCACCTTAGATCCATTCATCACACAGAGTGTTTCGAGTTAGTTAGCCTAGTTTTAAATTGTTTAGAAATAAATCTTCTTAAAACTTTAAAACCTGACTCTCTCCCTCTCTCTCTTGTCTCTGGGTTAATACGAAGTGTTACCTAATCCCTGCAATAAAAAGTGCCGATCTTCTGGTAAAAGAAATATTCCAAGATCCATCAGATTGATTTCATATTTCCTATGGAATCTCACGTTTTATGGTTCATTACGTAAGATGTAACCGACGAATCATTACACAATCAATCAATCAATCAATCAATCAATCTTTATGTATATAGCGCCTTCCACTGCCCTTGCGGTAGCCAAAGGCGCTGAACATAACACACTAAAAAAATAGAGAGCAAAAGGACATAAAAGCCAGTGTTGGGAAAGTTTGTGTTAAAAAAGAACTAGTTCAAAGTTGAGTTCATACATTTTAAAACAAACTATATTTAATTTTTTAGTTCATCATTAAAACATTTTTTAACTAAGTTCATTGTACCAAAACTTAACTAGTTCATAATACTTTGAGGCACATTCTCGTTTTCCCATCTCAGCATATATATATATATATATATATATATATATATATATATATATATATATATATATATATATATATATATATATATATATATATATATATATATATATATATATATATATATATATATATATATATATATATATATATATATATATATATATGCTGAGATGGGAAACAAGGATGTGCCTCAAATTGCAATACTCAGTGCAAAACATTTAATTATCTTTAAATTAAATAACTTCCCTAATTCAATGAATTTTCTGACTTGTTTGCCAAAAAAACATAATTAAAGAGAAAGTCATAGAGCTTGGGTTATAAAGAGCAACAATCAAAACAAAGCAAATAAAAAAATAAACAAATAGGTAAATATTACCGGTGCAACTCTGTGACTGGTGTTTTCAGATTTTTATTTTTCCCGGTTCATTCCAGTTAATTCCATACTCGGAAATTTCAACTTCCAAGTAGAAATAATGGACTGGACCCCCCTGACATCTACTGCCTATGGTGGCTACATTTGCAGGTTCTACTTTTTATAAACTCTATGATTAACAGGATGTTTTAGCTAGGATTTAGCTCCGTGGAAATCTGGAGCTCGAACGTCAAAAGAGCACGTTTATAAACCCGTTCACTCACGGCAGATCGAACGCACACACTTTAACATTTGTCAGGCAAAATACAAACAAGTTCAGTTCATGTTCACAAAATTCAATTAACTCGTTCGGGCACAACACTGATAAAAGCAACAATAGACATAAAAGCAACATACAAAAGATGAAAGCAGCGGAGATGATGTAAAAAGATAATAGACAAGGCAAAATTAATAAATCTAAAAACCGTCACATAAAAGCCAAATGATAACAATCTGTCTTCGAGTGACTCTTGAAGACCTGCAGTGACGGTGACTGTTTGATATCATGTGGAAGCTCCTTCCAGAGAGAAGGAGCCAAGACCTAGAAAGCCTGATCACATAGACCTGCACCTACTCTGTGGGACAATCAGTAACACCAGCTCAGCCGAGCGTAGAGTTC